ATCTAATTTACATTTTCTATACTTTTTTGATAATATCAAAAAATATAGGTCTATAGTCTGAAGTTTTGAAGAGAGGAAAGGACTATTATTATCAACTTGGTTACCCCCCCCAAAGGTAATCTTTTTTTTTTTTAATTGTGTGTGTAAGGTCTGTGCCTATGGAGGTGGGGGGGCAGGGTGGGGTGCAGAATAGCTGATCCCCCTGGAGCTGACGTTACAGACAGATGTGAGCCTCCTAAGAATTGAACTCAGTTACTCTGAAAGAGTACTGTGTGCTTTTATAGTGACTGAATTTTTAGCCCTTAAGCTTGTAAGGATGATGTAATTGTCAAATGGTCAAATATACATGTAGGACTGACTTTTACTTCATTTTTTGTTTATTTGGTTTGGTTTGATTTTTGTTTTTTAAAGACAGAGTTCCTCTGTGTAGCTCTGACTCTCCTGGCATTCCCTCTGTAGACCAAGCTGGGCTTGAACTCAGACACACCTCCTGCCTCTGCCTCCTGTGTGCTGGGATTTAAAAGTATTGTGTAGCACCACCACTTGGCTGAACTGGCTTGTTTTTAAGTCCTTTCTCATAACATGTGACAGCTGTGTGTCCAGAGAAGTTTTATAGTCTCACTAAGCTTCATTTCTACGTCCGGGAAGTGAAGAAAATCATGGGGCTCGTGGAGTTGGCAGGGACCGGACAGGAATGCACACCACTGAACCAAGTGACTGCCACATGAGCACCCAACCCTCATTAAGGTGACGAATCCAGGGACTGGCTCGTGCTAGGCACAGTGCGACTCTGAGCTAAACCTCCACTCCTTATTAGTCCTTTTGTTAGCAACATCACCTTGAGCTAGTTACTTAATTTCTGTATCTTAATTCCTCAACCATGACATGGGGAAAATAACACTAGTTCACAATTTTGGACAGTATGGTTGTCTAAGTTACACATGTGGGGATTGAAAAGAAGTCTAGTGCATATAGCACTTATGATGCCACATCCATCAGCTTCTAGGTTAATGTTCTTTGATGACATATATGTATAATTCTATGGTACACTGACTTTTAAAAGTATGGTACTGCGAGACCTATACATTTCTTGAGGATCGTGTATATCCCCAGTTTAAAGATAGTGGCTGTAGAAACATACTTTTCCTTACTCCCCTATTTCATACCAGCTCCTCTCAGTCCCAGGAGCCAAAGCCACCTCTTGAGATTCTTGGAACCAGTGAGCTTTGTGCTGCAAGACCTCTCAGTACCGGGGAGCTGCTCCCTTACAAAGCCAGAGCCTTGGCCATGCTCAAGTGCTTGCCAAGTTACCAGAGATTATGCTTTGGGATCTGTGATGGCGATTGGAGGGGTTAAGACTAAGATGCTTATGCTTAGTAAGGGGGCGTAGATATCCTTCCATTTGGCCACCCAGTGCTAAGGTACATGGGCCTGGCCAGACCCAATACCTCCACCCTTGCCATCAGGTATTAGAAGTGACAGCAGCAAGTTAGAGGGAACTGCTAGACTGGAGACAGTTCTCCAGATGGACTCAAAGACTCTGCCCCACTTTCTCCAAGTCTACAACCTCTTTCTTAAGAGTCAGCTAGAATGCACTTGGGAGGAGAGAGGAAGGTCAGTCAAGGCTAGAAAGGAAAAAGGGTGGGAGGACACTAAGGAGGGGAGTAATAAAACAGCTGTGTTCACACGTGAAACTCAAACACTCAAGAACACACTCTGGGGGAGCTACAGAATAGAAAAGAATGGCAAGAGAAAATTCCACAAATCACTCCCCTCAGCATCAGGCTCAACACTTGAACTGTAGTCCCAGAGGAGGGAGAGTTGGTTATTCACAGGAGCCCAGGGCTGCTGGGGATGGACCTCCCTTTGAGAGATTTTCTATTTAGTCATGCGTATGTGTGGCAGTATGTACATGTGAGTACAGGTGCCACGAATGAGAGAAGAGGCTGGCAGCCCCCTAGAACTGGAGAAACAGGTGGCTGTGAGCTACCGGATATGGCTGCTGGGAACCAAATTCTGGCTCTCTGCTAGAGCAGTAAACACTTTTCACTCCAGCCCCTAAAGTGCTAAGTTATGTTGTGGTTTGTTTCTTGTTTTTGATACAGTCTTGCTGTTTCCCAGGCTGGCCTGGACCTCACTGTGCTACCCAGTCTAGCCTTGAGTGTGTGCTGCTCCTGCCTCAGCATTTAGAGTGTTGTGATTACAGGCATGAGCCACCAGGCTACTCCAGTTCTGCTTCATTTGCCATGCTTTTGAAACTATCTTGATTTTTCTGTGTGCCCTTCCCTTTTCTTCTTGACATCAAAACTCAAGTCTGTGGATCTAGCTCATAATTTTAATGTAATTAGAGCATACGACCACACGATGTCAGTCTTTAGCTGAAAAATCTATTACGGGCCGGTCAGCCCATGATAATGTCAGAACACTGGGTGGGTGGGTGGGAGGTGTATCTGTACTACTTTTGGTGCTTTACATGAGATAATATTTTTCTGAGAAAAATTTAGAAAGAGCTTCCATCTGTGAAATGTATTAATTATCTACTGATAATCACGAAACTTTTGTTAGTGTTCCTGTTTTCATGTTGTTAATGTTTCTTAATGCCAGAGGTACCAATTTGTTTTATTAAAAATTTAACTGGTATAGCCAGGCAAGGTGGTGCACATAATTAATCTCAGCACTCTGGAGGCGGAGGCAGGCTTATCTCTGTGAGTTCAAGGCCAGCCTGGTCTACAAATTGAGTTGCAGGACAGCAAGGGATATTACCCAGAGAAACCCTGTCTCAAAAAAAGCAAAAAAAAAAAAAAAAAAAAAAAAAAAAAAAAAAGGTATAATTAATACCAAAATTAGATAAGGAAATTCAGTGCTGAGAAGTGAAAGGTCTTGAACACACTAAGCAAGTCCTCTACCAGTGAGCAGCGTCCCCATTCCCTGGAAAAAGAAAAGCTTTAATGAAACCAATCAAAACCACTTTATTATTACTCTCATGAATCAGAGGGGCTTGTGTACACCTGAATGGAGATCACAAGATAACTTTGTGAAGCCATTCCTCTCTTTCTATCCTCACATGGGTCTCCCCAGCCTCTTAGCAATAAACTACTGAAGTTAAAAACAAAACAAACTAACAAACAAACAAAAAAGCTGGGCAGTGATGGTGCACGCCTTTAATCCCAGCACTTGGGAGGCAGAGGCAGGCAGATTTCTGAGTTTGAGGCCAGCCTGGTCTACAGAGTGAGTTCCAGGACAGCCAGGGCTACACAGAGAAACCCTGTCTCAAACAAAACAAACAAACAAACAAAAAAAAACCCACATATATTATGGAGGTAGAGATGGGATGGATATAAAATCCTAAGGCTTAAAAATAACCTTGCTTAAAATCCGGGGTCACAGTCAGATACACAATAAACTCAAGGTACAAGAGACCCTGTTTCTGGGCTGGAGAGATGGCTCAGCGGTTAAGAGCACTGACTGCTCTTCCAGAGGTCCCGAGTTCAAATCCCAGCAACCACATGGTGGCTGACAACCACCCATAATGAGATCCGATGCCCTCTTCTGGTGTGTAGTGTGTTTCAAAAGAAGTCTTAAAGATGGCTCAGTAAATTAAAGAGACTTGCTGCTATGCCTAACCATCTGAGTTGAATCCTTCAGTTCTTAAGAGTCTCAAGGTGAGGCAGAAGCAGGCGGATTTCTGAGTTCGAGAGTACGAGGCTAGCCTGGTCTACAGAGTGAGTTCCAGGACAGCCAGGGCTACACAGAGAAACCCTGTCTCAAAAAAAAAAAAAAAAAGATTCTCAAGGTGAGAAGAGATAGTAGACTCCTGAAACTTGTCTTCTGACTTATCAAGTGTATTGTAGCATTCGAACACACACACACAACAAATAGACAGTAAACAAATGTAAAATTCCCAAAGTCTATACCTCTACTACAGAGGCATACAAAGAACAAGTTAATACTTAAATATTTCACCATTTGAATTAGTAATCCTTTCCAACCACAAAGCAAATCATTCCTTGAGTTTTGAAAGATATTTATAACTGATTTATCATGTCCCAAATAGTTAAAGAACCAAAATGCCCTGCTTGGATGTACTGAGTGACATGAAAAATAGACTGAAAATAGTGGGGCCTTTGAGATGGCTCAATAGGCCAAGGCGCTTGCCACCCCACCGGGCCCTACAAACTGAGTTGGATCCCTGGGGTACACACACAGAGAAGAAATACATGCAATACAAAAAGAAAATAGGAAACTGCAAATAGCATCTGGTTCTGAATATTATTGTTTCATTTTATCTTTTTTTAACTATATATAGGCTTCAGATAAATATGTACAGTTTCAAAAGTAAAGAAAGTTAACGTTTGCCTTATTTTCAGCAGTGGAAGCAAAATACAGCATTTTATATTTCATGTCACATGGCTGCTTCTATCATACTTCTGCGAAAGAGTGGGTCTGCACGCGGATGTATCTTCTGTATGTGTTAGCAGTGGGCAAAACCTAGTGCGAGAGAAATCTGGGAGGGGCATGAAGGGGGAGGCCCCTTCTGTCCCATTGATAACAGGTTCATTCACAGAGAGCCTTTAAAACAGACTAATCCCTTATGCAGTCATTCGCTCTACTCTAATAGGGCCCTTCCACCTCTTCTAGAGTTCGGTAAGCTAAAAGTACACTTATACGATTAATCTGAAATGAATTTGTAGACAGTTTGGTGAAAGGTGAAGAGTTCGGTGCTGGGAGGGTGATTATTAAACTTAATTTTTCTATCTTGGTGAATGTTAAAAACGATTCCTTAAACCTTAAGTTGTTCCTTTAGGACAGCCAGCACTTTAGAGGGTCTCCTCGCCGCTAACTGAGAACATTGGTTTCAGGAAAGTCAGGATAGTTGGCGGGTTCCTGTATCCAGGGAGAGGGCTGAGCGGGACTCATCCGTAACCTTCATTCACAGATCCGAGGATGCTCCTCGCCCTGTGCTGCCTGCGCTGAGGTCCCAGGAATCCCAGAGGAGCGGCATGGCCAACACGGGCGTCAGTCCGAGGCCGCGGGTGTCGCTCTCGCCGCTGCTGCTGCTGCTGCTGTTGCTGCAGGGAGGCTGCCTCCTCTCGGCCGCCGGGAGGGACAAGGGGGCGGCTAGCAGGGAAGTGGCCCTGGCCTCCGGGCTCAGGGACGGCTCCTCCGGTCGCTTCGTGAGCCCAGAGCAGCACGCGTGCAGCTGGCAGCTCCTGGTGCTCGCCCCAGGGACGCCGACGGGCGGAGAGCTGGCCCTGCGCTGCCAGACCCCGGGCGGGGCAAGCCTGCACTGCGCCTACCGCGGGCACCCGGAGCGCTGCGCGGCCACCGGCGCCCGGCGCGCACACTACTGGAGACGGCTGCTGGGCGCGCTGCGCAGGAGACCGCGACCCTGCCTGGACCCCGCGCCGCTGCCGCCGCGCCTGTGCGCCCACAAGACGGCCGGCGCCGAGCTACACCCGCCGGCGCACCCCAGCCTGCCCGCGCGTCCCAACGAGCAGCCCCAGCCGAGGGCGCGGAGCCGGGCTCGGCCACGGCAGTCGGTGCGGTCCTCGAGCTCCCAACCCGAAAAGAAGCCCTTGCTGGTGAAGTCCAACTTCACCGGGAGAAAGGCGGGCTCAGACCCGGTCCCGGAGCCTCCTACAGCGGCCGGACTCCAGCCCAACGGGTTGGACCAGAATGCGGAGCTCACTGAGACCTACTGCGCTGAGAAGTGGCACTCCCTTTGCAATTTCTTTGTCAACTTCTGGAATGGCTGACGCTGCAGGCTGGCAGGGGCACTAGGGACTGGTGCTGCGGAGCAGAGGGCGATGGGAGGCTCGAGGCGTCTTAGACGGGGAACCGGGATGGAGAGTAGGCTAGTCGGGATTTCAAAATGGGGCAGGAGTCAGGGTGAGAAGAATCTGAAGCAATAGGAGAGCTTTTTGGAAACATCTCAATTCTGATTTAAGAGCAGAAATAATGGAAATGGATAGATTTATATTAAGTATGCGAAAATTGTAGACTAGGGGAGAGAAGCTGAGAATAGCCGGAATGAAGTGACTCCTAGGAAGTGGGGGGATACAATGTATACTAACACATTTTCATTAAATGTAACTGCAAGAGCCTAGGCTCTTACAGTTGAATTGTTCAAAATCTTCTTGGGTTTTCACCTTGAGAAAATGAATACCCACCCACCCACCCCACCCCCCTCCTTTCTGAATTGTCATGAACTCTGAGTGTGACTTGGCATCACACTTTCTATGTAAATTAAAGTCTTATAAGTAAAAAAATAAATCTAAAACTGGATTATCAGGACAATTGCTTTTCAATCCCTTTACTACTTTTTAACTGAATTTTGAGCCTACTGTCCTGAAAGTTCATTAACTACCTAAAATCAGAAGAGAATTTTAGAAGTTCAGTGCTCTCTAGATCTTCAAAAACAAACAAAAATCTCCAAGCCTTTACATGTTGACCACTCTTTTTTAAATCAGCTAAAATGTAAACATGTATCTCGGTCATTTGGGCCTTCATCTCTTCTGTCATTAAATTTAAAATGTGGGGTTTTTAAAATATGTTGTAACAATGATTGTCTTTAATACAAAAAAAAACTGGTTGGATTTAAAGAGTTGTAAAACGATGGAAATTCTGCTGTTTCTTTTATTTATTTATTTATTTATTTATTTATTTTTATTTTGTGTGTGGGAGGTGAGGTTATGGGCCCCATGCATGGAGGATCCTGTGGAACAGACAAGAGGATCCGGTCTTTTAGAACTGAGTCTGTGAGCTGCTGTGGGTGCTGGGAATTTAACTCTTTACCTCCTGTTTATCAATTTCTAAATATACCGTATTTAAGCGTGTGCGTGTGCGTGTGTGTGTGTGTGTGTGTGTGTGTGTGTGTGTATGTTTGGCTGGCTGGCTGGCTGGCTGTTTTGTGTGTTTGAGACTGTCATTTTCTCAAGACCATCATGCCTCAGACTTCCAAGTTCTGGGTTTACAGCACTCCACCATGACCAACTCAAATTAAGTTTTTTCACTATTTATGTATTTATTTATTTATTCACTTTACATACTGATCACAGTCACCCCGTATTAAGTTCATAATTTGAATGGTTGAAAGGAGAAACTGAAAATTTTGTATAAAGCAAGAGTCACTAACAGGCAGCTATTGGGATATGTTTTGTTCTGCTTCAACTTCAAAAAGCATATTCTCTGTCTCTCTCTCTCTCTTTCTCCCTTTCTCTCTCTCCCCTTCTCTTTCCTCTCTTCCTTGATCCCTTCTCCCCTGTCCCCTGCTTCCTTCTCTTCTTCCTTCTCTCTTTCCTCCAATTTGAATTAGCTGTCAGCATTTTAAGATGGGATAATTTCATACAAAACCCCAACGTTCTCGTTTTCTTGAAAGAAAATCAGAAGATCTGCCAACACTTCTGTCTTCTCACATGGTACAGCTGGTGGACCATGGTTGGTTGCCTCTCTTTGGATTACGTGTGATTTCTAGATTTCCTACTCATCCCAGTGCAGCAGTCAACTGTATTAATTTGTATCTGTATGGCATTGGGGATTAAGCCCAGGGACTGGGGCATGCCAGGCAAGCGCATGACCACTGAGCTCCATTCCAAGATGGGCTGTGTGGTTTTTGTTTTGTCTTGTTTTATTTTGTGTGTATGTGTGTTCATATGTGGGTTTGCGTGTGGGTATGCACACGTTGGATGTCAGAGGACACCTTGCCTCCAGAGTTAGTTATCTCCCTCCAGCATGCGGGTCCTGGGGACAGAACTCAGGCCTTCGCTTTGACTGGAGGCTCCTAGACTGACTGAGGTGTCCTATGAAGCCCCTAAGCTTGCTTTTAAGTTTTAGATGAGATGCTTGTGTTGGACAACCCAGGCAGGCCATGACAGGAGCCCTGCAGTCTTCCTGACTCGGCTCCCAAGTGACTCAGGTTAAAGGCCCGGCCCTCCATGCCCAGTCATCTTTTACCACCTTACATTACCCATTACCCACACCTGAGCCCAATGCCAGAGGGAGCCCCACCCCACCCTCCCAGGTAGACTACCTTGCTGTTGATCTCTATTTTCACTCTCTCCCTTTAAAGTGCAACTAATTCCTGACTTTTTCTATTTAATCTGCCTCTATGGCATTAAAAACTATTTTATACCCATTTTGTATATTTCTGTGCTCCAGCAAGTGTTAAAACATCCAGATTGAGCATGCTCTGAGGGTAGACTTATGTGGTCATGTGTTGAATAGCACTGATCCTTAGATGAAATTAATTATGGCCAAGGAAAGGAAACTCAAGGCAGCTGGAGGCCATTCTCCAAAAGTATGTATGGCCCAACACACACAGTCTCAAAAAAGAGAAGCAGAAAGCATGTGTCACCAAAAAGAAACAATGGAAACATTGGTACTGTCCTGAACCATGGCTAGAATCATACTTTCATCTCTCTGGGAAAGAGGACTGCCAGTCCCTCCCAGTATGCCTCTGATGGTCTGACAAATTTCTTTCTAAGAGAGAAGAAAAGACCACACTCTGTGTGTCTAAGAGCTGTGCCAGGACACGAGCTGTCTCAGGAACAAGCAACAGCTGCTCGCAGTGGAGTTGAAGGGATCAGTTCCCTCCATCTGTCTTTTGAATGATGTTGGCTAAGTCCCAGGGTCTTTTCGGAGACTGGGTTGGACTAAGCCTAGGGTTTTTAAAGCACACTTATAGCCTTCTAGAATCATACATACAATTCTCCACAGACATAATAACGTAAGTAGTAACAAGTATAACATGTAAAGTGCATGATGTAACCCAGGAAAGATGGCAGACTTCAAAGAGCCAGAGAAAGGCAACTGAAATGGTCAGGGAAAGGGAGAAAGTGTCCGTGTCTAGGACATCTAGAAAAGTATGGAAGAACGTGCTAGACAGACAAGCCTCAGCTGGAAGAGGACTGAATGAAAGTCTCTCTAGTACGAAGAAGCTGGTTCTGGGAAAGATGAATGTTTTCCCCTAGGGGCATCATGCAGAGTGGAAGGAAAGTTGTCAGGGTGCACTACCACTGTCAGTGCTGAGATCAGGTGTCAAAGAGGAAGGTGCTGGTAGCTCTGTGTGTGGGAGAAAGAGGGATTATAGACATACAACCATCTTGTTCTAGTTCTGTTTTCAAAGTTATTAGACACTCAGGAGGCAGAGGTAGGCAGAGAGAGCTCTATGAATTCAAGGCTAGCATGGTTTATACAGTGAATGCTAGCCCAACCAAGGCTACATGGTGAGACTCTGTTTCAAAAAAAAAAAAAAAACTACCTTAAGGTACAGATCTTTTATAAATTTGTTTAGCAGGCATGGGAAATGGCTAATCATAGTGTCTTGGTATACTGACAATCTTAACTCAGAATGCAGATTTGTACAAGAATATTAGTAGGTTCATAAAATGTTAACTTTCTCTCATATCTATCATTTCTATCATATCTCATAGTTTCACGTAACTATCACCTGAAAGGTGTGTTTTAATTTTGTACATTCTGTTGACTAAAAGAAACCTCTGGGTTGAACTTTCCATTTTAATATTCTGCACAAAGTTCAAGGTCCCCAAAAAGGACACCGTAGAGGGGAAGTTAGCCAACTGTCAAGGCAGAAGTCTGTAATCCTAGCCCTTAGGAGGTGGATGCAGGAGAATTGTAAGTATGATGCCAACCTGTGCTACATAGTAAGCTCCCCTGCCCCACACAAAACAAGGACAGGAAAAAGACTTGAACAGCACTAACATAAAACAGACTTGATTGACACATATGGAGCGCTAATAACAACAGACTATAGATTCTCTTCAGACCAACCTAGTATAATCATTGATACAGACCATATTATGAGCAAGACAAATTGCAACTCATCCTAAACAGCTTCGATAATGCAAAATCTGTTCTCAGATGAGAAAAGAATTATGCTAGGAATCAACAGCAGTCAGAAAATTTCCAGTTATTTTAGAAAGTAAACACAAGATTCCAAAATAGTCTGTGAATCCTAAAGAAAAGTAAAAAAAAAAAATGTATTTGCAATACAATTCTCCACAGACATAATAACGTAAGTAGTAACAAGTATAACATGTAAAGTGCATAATATAACCCAGGAAAGATGGCAGACTTCAAAGAGCCAGAGAAAGGTAATTTGAATATTGAATATATGAAATTGAACCTGAAAATGACAAACTGTGTGCTTGTAGCTGAAGAAGTACATGGACATAGACAGTATTAAATGCATCTCCTAGCAAAAATAGAGCAGTGGTGGAAGAGAAACCAGATGCTGTCAGGCTTCCTGTTACCCAGTGTAGAGTGCACAGTTTCAGGATAAGAAATCAATTCTGGAGTAGTTGGCTGCATGTCTTTTATCCCAGCACTTGTAAGGCAGAGGCAGGTGGATTTAAGGCCAGCCTGGTCTGTGTAATGAGTTCCAGGACAATCATAGCTACATAGTGAAAGCCTGTCTCAAAAAAAAAAAAAAGAATAAAAAGAAAGAAAAGAAACCAGCCTCTGGATTGTTTTGGCTAGGGTTTGTTTCCGTGACCGAGAACCTGTTTTGTTTGTACAAGGTGAGTGGGGAAGGAAGCAAAGGGAGGGGGAGGGAGATAGACCTCTGGTTTCTCCATTGTTCACTGTGATGACATACCAGTTATCCACCCAAACCTGATCCCTCCTTTATCCTGGATGAGTACCCCCAAGCCAGGGACATTTTATTGTCTTCTTCTTTGTACACAGGTATGATCAGTGACTAACCTTTTGCCAGCGATTTGTGTAGCTTCAACTTCACTATGATTAAATAACATGCCACTTGCCTTTCCTCAGAATTTAGGCAAGGATGCACTAGAAACTGAGCCTCAGTCATGCAAAGATATGCAGTACCCTAAAGACAACAGAGGCAGACAGAAGGAAGAAGGAGAATTGAGTAGGAAGGGCCTTGGCATTGAAGCCCTGAGAAAACCTCAGCCATGCCTTGGAGAGTATAGTACAGACACTGCTCACTTCAAGATGCCATGTTGATCAAGAATGGCCTCTTCCAGCTTCTCTACTCCCGCAGCCACTTGTAATTGTAGCCAGGATACTTATTGTGCTACATTGTATTCCCAGTGTAGCTTGGATTAGGCAGTAGAAGAGGAGGAGGAGCTAGGAGAGAAAGAGAGGAAGGGGAGGGGAGAAACAGAGTAAGGGGAGGAGAAGAAGGAGGCT